GGGGGGGGGGGGGTAAAGGTAAGTTTGGGTAGAGGTATGCTTTAGTGCAAAAATCGTTCAAATTGATGGTAAAACACATCATTGCCAACCCACGCACTCTTTTTAAGGATTCCGTTGCAAAAAGACACCCTGTTCAAAATGCTAAATAGTTATAAATTTAATTTCACAATGGGAGTCCCCACTCCCAAACATTATAGGCTAAGATAAGTTATGGGAAGAGACAAACCTGGAGGCAGAATAGGAGTGTGAACTAATAGGTGCAGGGAGGTGCAGGGAGGGAGAGTGGGGTGACAACTTGGTCTCTGCTGTCCTTTTAACAAAGAAAGGAATAAGGACAGCACGGGAATTTTGCACACCGAATGAATTCTACCTTTGGTAATTTGGTAATTGTACACATCACACCACAGAGAATACTGAAAGCATCACAACAAGATGAAAATGAGTATTGTGGAAGCCTAGTTCGCTTGCAAAGACTGCCCTCAGTTTATATTGGCACTTTATACCTTAATTTAAGGGTAAATTAAAAACAATCAGAGGAACATTTGAGAGGCCACGAAGACCTTTAACAATTTATTACATGCACTTGCGCGTTCGTTAATTAACTATAAACAAGCTAACAAATAATTATGAATAAGGCAAAATTCACCCGATTAGTTAAGCATATATTTTAACAGCTCAATTCCATCACAGTGGTCCTGTTCTAAGGTAACAGTGCATGTGAAATCCATCAATGGCGGGATCACTCATAACTAAGAAAAGAAAATCTTAGATTAGTAAAGTTTTTATAGCTGTACTGGCTACAACGTAGGTGCTAATTGCCAAATTACTGAAAGGACCTCTTAAGAAATGTCACGCATAAAAATAAAAACAAATGCGCAAAACACGTTGTTCTGCATAATGTTTACGCTGAGGCGAAGTCAAAACAACAGTCATCGAAGTATTCCATCTCAAAACAAACAGGCTTTTGAATGTCTTTCATATCCCTGACTCGCATCTTTTTCTGGAGAAGACTTGCTTCACCTGAGCGATACAGACGCAGAACTGACAACATTTTCATGGCCTTGACTAAAAATACGCAACACACCTTCTGCATTAAATTGTGTTATTTTATGTTTGTATTGGGCTTTTCACTTGGGATTGAAATCGTTTACTTTCTCATGGCGTGAAACGTTTAGGCAACATAGACCTGGGACTTGAAAAAGTTGTTCATGCATCAGTGGTTTATAGCATTTCATTTACTTGGCTTTCATGTTTCAAAAGTTTGGGATTTATTTGTTCATTTCGGATTCATTGCGTGACAGTGAAAACGATCCACTTGCAAGGTGTTAAGACTATGAAAAAATAAGCGGTAGAATCAGAATCATATTGTGACATATTTAGAACATACTCTTTACTGTACCTGCAGCAACACACAAATCCATACAGGCAGGGTTTAAAAAAGTTGCATATGTCCTGGTTGTGGCACAACTCATAACCCTGCGCATGCGGTAGACAATTCTCACATGTATCATAACAGCACATCGGTGGTCGCACTGTGAACAGGTGAGATAAAGAGTCATTACAATATAAAATGTTTTAATCTCAGTAAAAGGAACGAGTAGCGGTTAAGGCGGTTACTCTCAGTCCGGCGTTGGATTCCTATCCCAAGTACTGACGCCGGCATTTGCAAGACGAAACAAAAACTTCCGTTCATGCGCGTCTCAAAGTAGTCTAATATCACAAATTCGTTGCCTATAACAAATACCTTTTAAGCGCGTGGGCCTTAAAATCTTCGAAAGTTACCGGCTTAGGACTCACAATTTTTTTTCTGAGTCCCATCTGGGGCTCAGAATTTTTCCTAGTTTCCATCTGATGCAAAAAAACGTATCACGTTCTACTTCTACAGAAAAGACTTACGACTACGTGGACCACGTTTCTCATAGAGAAAGTTGGAGGTCTTCTCTTTGTCCTGTGGGCGACGTAGCCGTGCACTGTGCACAGCTGAGCTCACCAGAACTACCAGCAGCATGCAAATGTAAAACTTGGCAGCCATTGCTTGTAGTTTAGAGAACAGCGTTAAACCTGGTTAAAAGAAAAGGAAATATCTCAGCTTACAAACAAAATTTTGTCACAAGAGAAGAAGAAAGTACTGGGGGCATGAGCTTCAACATCGATACTAACTATAGACTACTTTCTACTGAGCTGATAGTTGCTGATTTCGGTTGTAAACAAATCCTATGTTTAGGACACAATTAAGAATTAAGAGTAAACTTCAACTGGATCACAGCTCAAGTCTCACACCGAAAACTGAACTAATGAAGATCTACTTGGTTGTTTCCCTTTCACTCCTTCGCTATTGGCATAACTTGATTCGCTTGTAAACAAGTCTCTGTTTAGGACACAACTAAGAATTAAGAAACAAACTGTACCTTGTAAGACGTAAGGTGCTTAAAACCTTTGTTGGATCACAGCTCTGTCCTGAACTGATAAAGATACACTCGGTTGTGTCGTTTTTATTCCTTCATTATTGACAGTGGCTCCGCCCACGTTTTCGTTCTGAAAATAACCCGCACTAAATTAGAGCTGCCCTTTGACATATTTCAATCACAATAGTGGATTATTTAAGTATAGAAAGATATTGCTTGAATAGTGATGAGAAACCTCCAGGGCGTAAACCAACTATGATGAATGGGAATACTTGAATTGGCATCTCCTTGTGATACCTTATAAATGGCCTGGTTTGGCTTTTAATACACAGTTCCTATTTTTTCCGTTACTGACGGTGCCTACAAAGAAAAAACAGAACTGCCTGTCTCATCAGCTTATGTTTTATCATAAGAAATGTAAGATAGTAGCCGGATCAAAGCATTATGACAAATTTACACCTACTGATGCGAAAACACAATGGGTACGAGGCTTATGCTTGTTACACCGGAAACTGATGATTGCAGGTAGCACAGAGCAATTATACTGAGAGAGCCTTTGTCTGTCTCAGCCGCAAATTTAAAATATCTGTTAATTAAATTGCGTCAAATCCATAACCAGCGAGGAAAAGCACATGCTGGAAAGCATAGTAAGTAGTCGACAAGTGCCTCAAGACACGAAAAATATTGGATTTTTTGAGCAAAGAACAGTTCCACCAAAATAAAACTAGTTACGTCCAAAAACGCTCTTGTTGGGTTTCAAGAATGAATATTAAGTTTAAATTACAAAATCAGTTCAGTTCTACCCGAACATAGCCAGTTAGTAAAAAGTTGCGGTGTAAAGTCGAAATTATAGGAAACGCCATGCAAAAGGTTATAGCATAACAACCTAGGTTTCTTTTCTTAAAGTCAAGAAAACTATTTTTATCGCCGTTAATATCATTCAGTACCAAATAAGAACAATTGGTACAAGGTTATGCTAGTAAGCATAGGAAGTGGATGACGGCAGGTATTTTCATCTTACTTTATAGTGTCGCCATTTTACTGGACAGTTCACTGTTCACAAAGCCTCATTTGCCGCGGTATTATGCTTTATATATCAGATATCACGTTTAAACCGAGATTTTTCCTGAGCATTACTTCACATTCATATTTATATTATGTTTTAAAGTTGTCTTTGATTGACTGGATGGTCCAAAAAACTTCTTTAATAAAACCCTGAGGTGCGGAAGTGCTGACCGGTTCACTTTATGCTTGTTTGATCAATTGTGAAACCATAAAACTAAAAACAAGCTATATTATAAGTAATTAGGTGAGAAATAAGTTGCAAATCATTGATTGTTTCAGGTTTGTTTTGGCTTCTTTTCAAGATCGGAAGTTTCTTTTGTAATTAAGTTAGCCTGTTCCAGGCGTCGTTCAGATAATGAGAACACTATCTGAACGACGCCTGCAACACAAAAACAGTGGATAGTGTTTTTCGCGCGCTCTTATTGGCTACTCAATCAGTGAATATCCTGCACTATTCACTGATTCACCTCCAGTTCCTCCGAGCGAGCATCGAAGTCAAAACTATAGTCAATGAAGTATTCCATCTCAAAACAAACAGGCTTTTGAATGTATTTCATATCCCTGACTCGCATCTTTTTTTGGAGTAGACTTTCTTCAGCTGAGCGATACAGACGCAGAACTGAGAACATTGTCAGGGCCTTGACCTAAAATACGCAACACACCTTCTACATTAAATTGTGTTCTTTTATGTTTGTATTGGGCTTTTCACTTGGGATTGAAATCGTTTATTTTCTCATGGCGTGAAACGTTTAGGCAACATAGACCTGGGACTTAAAAAAGTTGTTTATGCATCAGTGGTTTATAGCATTTCACTTACTTGGCTTTTATGTTTCAAAAGTTTGGGATTTTTTTTCATGTCGGATTTATTGCGTGACAGTGAAAACGATCCACTTACAAGGTGTTAAGACTATGAAAAAATAAGAGATAGAATCAGAATCATATTGTAACATATTTAGAACATACACTTTACTGCCTGCAGCAAAACTCAAATTCAACTTCGCAGTCCATGCAAAAGATCTTGTTGCAGCAGTTGCAGGACTCATAACCTGTACAATTGTTACATCCTCCATAACAGCATCTCATTGATGGTACTGTGAACAGGTGAGACAAAAAGTCATTACAATATAAAATTTTTTAATCTCAGTAAAACGAACGAGTAGCGGTTACTCTCAGTCCGGCGTTGGATTCCTATCCCAAGTACTGGCCCCTAGCATTTGCAAGACGAAACAAAAAATTTCGTTCATGCACGTTTAAAAGTAGTCTAATATCACAAATTCGTTGCCTAAAACAAATAACTTTTAAGCGCGTGGGCCTTAAAAGTTTCGAAAGTTACCGGCTTAGGACTCACAATATTTTTTCTGAGCCCGGGGCTCAGAATTTTTCCGAGTTTCCATTTGATGAAAAAAAAAAACGCATCATGTTCTACTTCTACAAGAAAGACTCACCTGATGGGAAAGTATACGGCTTAAGAGTTGCTACATCAAAAAATCTCTTATAGAGAAAGTTGTAGGTCTTCTCTTTTTCCTGTGGGCGACGCAGCCGTGAACTGTGCACAGCAGAGCTCACCAGAACTACCAGCAGCATGCAAATGTAAAACTTGGCAGCCATTGCTTGTAGTTTAGAGAACAGCGTTAAACCTGGTTAAAAGAAAAGGAAATATCGCGGCTTACAAACAAAATCTTGTTACAAGAGAAGAAGAAAGTACTGGGGTTTGAGCTTCAAAATGGATACTAACTAGATTACTTTCTACTCAACTGATGGTTAATTTCGGTTGTAAACAAAGCCTTTGTTTAGGACACAATTAAGAATTAAGAGTAAACTTCAACTGGATCACAGCTCCAGTCTCACACCGGGAACTGAACTAATGAAGATCTACTTGGTTGTTTCCCTTTCATTCCTTCACTATTGGCATAAAATTCGCTTGTAAACAAATCTATGTTTAGGACACAACTAAGAATTAAGAAACAAACTGTACCTTGTAAGACGTATAGGTGCTTAAAACGTTTGTTGGATCACAACACTGTCCTGAACTGATAAAGATACACTAGGTTGTGTCGTTTTTATTCCTTCATTATTGACAGTAGCTCCGCCCACGTTTTCGTTCTGAAAATAACCCGCACTAAATTAGAGCTGCCCTTTGACATATTTCAATGACAATAGTGGATTATTTACGTCTTTAAAGATATTGCTTGAATGGTGATGAGAAACCTCCGGGGCGAAAACCAACTATGAATAGGAACACTTGAATTGGCATCTCCTGGTGATACCTACAATAAATGACCGGGTTTGGCTATTAGTTATTAAGTGTATTCAGTATTTTGCCAGTGACGGTGCCTACAAAGAAAAAACAAAACTGCCTGTCTCATCAGCTTATGTTTTATCATAAGAAATGTAAGACAGTAGCTGGATCAAAGCATTATGACAAATTTACACTTACTGATGGGTCAAACACAATGGGTACGAAGCTTATGCTTGTACATCGGAAACTGATGATTGCAGGTAGCACAGACCAATTGTACTGAGAGAGCCTTTGTCTGTCTCAGCCGCAAATTTAAAGTATCTATTAATTAAATTGCGTCAGATATAGAACCAGCGAGGAAAAGCACATGCTCAAAAGCAGAGTAAGTCAGTCGACAAGTGCCTCAAGACATGAAAAATATTTTAATTTTTTTTAGAAAACAACAGTTCCACCAAAATAAAACTACAGTTACGTCCTTCAAGAATTAATATTGTATTTAAATTACAAAATCAGTTCAGTTCTACCAGAACATAGCCAGTTAGTAAAAAAGTTGCGGCGTAAAGTGGAAGTTATAGGAAACGCTATGCTATAGGTTATAGCATAACAACTTAGGTTTGTTTTCACAGGCTAAAAGTCAAGAAAACTATTTTTGGCGTCGTTAATATCATTCAGTACTAAATAAGAACAATTGGTACAAGGTTATGCTGGTAAGCATAGGAAGTGGATGACGAAAGGTGTTTTCATTTTACTTTATAGTGTCGCCATTTTAGTGGACAGTTCACTGTTCACAAAGCCTCATTTGCCGCGGTATTATGCTTATATCAGATATCACGTTAAAACCGAGATTTTTCCTGAGCATTACTTCACATTCATATTTATTCTATGTTTTGAAGTTGCCTTTGATTGACTGGATGGTCCAACGAACTTCTTTAATGAAACCCTGAGGTGCGGGCGTGCTAGACAAGGCGGTATAGTACACAGCTCTGGTTCACTTTATGCTTGTTTGATCAATCGTGAAACCATAAAACTAAAAACAAGCTATATTATAAGTAATTAGGTGAGAAATAAGTTGCCAGTCATTGATTATTTGAGGTTTGTTTTGGCTTCTTTTCAAGATCGGAAGTTTTTCTTTTGTAACTAATTTAGCCTGTTCCAGGCGTCGTTCAGATAGTGAGAACACTATCTGAACGACGCCTGCAACACTGATTATGAGCAAAGTAGGGAATAGATATTTTTATTTTAAATACGGAATAAATAAATAAATAAATAAATAAATAAATGGAGCAAACTCGCACAATTTGATTTTTGCTAAGTATTGCATAGACCATAGGACGAGGAATTTTGTCAAATGTAAAAAGCTAGAGGCTGTAGACTTTAGTTAACAGCGTACTTTACCATTCAGATTCGGCTATAAATTATTCCATTTTGGTGAGAATTAGTGGACTCCATGCAGTAAAAACGGATGAAGAATCTTCAAGCAGACATTGTAAAGCCCATTTGGTCACATAGTTATCCGGCCAAGGGTGAGGTAGACGCAAACTTTATTAATGTTTGGGAATTCAGTAATTGCCATTTTAGTGGACAGTTAACTGTTCACAAAGCCTCATTTGCCGCGCTATTATGCTTATATCAGATATCACGTTAAAACCGAGATTTTTCCTAGGCATTACTTCACATTCCTATTCGTATTATGTTTTTAATTTGCCTTTGATTAACTGCATGGTCCAAAGAACTTCTTTAATGAAACCCTGAGGTGCGGGCGTGCTAGACAAGGCGGCACACAAGTCCGGTTCACTTTATGCTTGTTTGATCAATCGTGAAACCATAAAACTAAAAACAAGCTATATTATAAGCAATGAGGTGAGAAATAAGTTGCAAGTCATTGATTGTTTGAGGTTTGTTTTGGCTTTTTTTTCAAGATCGGAAGTTTTCTTTTGTAATTAAGTTAGCCTGTTCCAGGCGTCGTTCAGATAGTGAGAACACTGTCTGAACGACGCCTGCAACACTGATTATGAGCTAAGTAGGGAATAGATGTTTTTATGTCAAATACGGAATAAATAAATAAATAAATGGAGCAAACTCGCACAATTTCATTTCTGCTATAATTGTAGACCACGGGACGTGGAATTTAGTCACTGTAAATGTAAAAAGCTAGTTAAGAGGCTCTAGGCTTAAGTTAGCAACGTAATTTACTGGCATTCAGTATTCGGCCATAAATTATTCCATTTTGGTGAGAATTAGTGGACTCCATGCAGTAAAAACGGATTAACAATCGTCAAGGAGACATAGTAAAGCCTGTTTGGTCACATAGGTAGCGAAGGGTAAGGTAGACGCGGACTTTTAAGGTTTGGGAATTCGGTAATAGTCTACATCACACCAAGGAAATACTGAACCGGCATCACAGCAAAACTCGTGGAAACCTAGTAGAAAAATGACAATGACCGCAATAATTGACAGGAAAGATCTATAAAGTTCCTTTAAAAGAAGCGTCTTGCTTGTGTATAGATTTGTCACGGTTTTCGACGCCATCTTGACGAGTAGGCAAACATGTGAGAAATTACAGTGTTTGTATGAGAATCAAATGTCGAATAATTTCCACAAAACGGCTTTTCTGAAAAAAAAATTGTAATAAAGCTACAAAGCAAAGGATTGTACTAACAAAATTTGGGAGCGTATCTGTGCTTAAATTTCTCCAGAGGCTTGCTTTAGATTTTCCATGTAATTTTTCCTGGGACTTTCTTACAGACACATGCATAGAAAATTTTAAAAAGTGGTTCTAGGTCTTCTAGCGCATGAAACGCCCTCAATTTTTTCAGCAGGGTCCTTAGAAGTGAAGCTTTTGTTTACAATTCATGTTTTTTTTTAGAATAGCCCTTCTACGGAAATTATTCGACATTAGATTCTCATACAAACACTGTAATTTCTCACGTGTTTGCCTATACTCGTCAAGATGGCGTCGAAAACCGTGACAAGGTCTATTATATTCCCGCCTCAAGAGATAAGCCTATTTATTTGACTCTTTACTCCCTTTGGTCCAAGTGCGTAGTATAGCAGTTTTGATGATCCTTCGATTTTTTTAGAAGTAGCGACGCACATCAGAATTCCTCTTTAAGATTGACGCAGGAGTTCAGACTGAATTAAATCCAGCTTTGTTTTTTCAACACCGCTCCTTAAAGGTATGGAATATGAGCTTTGTTCCTTGGTTTTCTTTTTCTTTTCTCACAAAAAACTTCTAACAGGGGGGGAGGGGGGGCAAAAGTATGTTTAAGTAGAGGTATGCTTTAGTGCAAAGACAAACTCCTTAAAGCAGATATATAAATGTGATCAGGTTTACATATTTACAATAATAAGGGTGCAACCTTTCCCCCCGAAAAGGTACCTAAAACGGTTAGAGGGTAGACATCAATTTTCCAACCTTAAATACCCCTTAATATGCCGCTGCTATTGAGCATTGTGTTGACGTACACAATCCCTGTAGTTAGAATTTTTTTTTACCAAGTCGTTGTTTAATTGTTTTTGTTGTGCAGTTGATTACACCATACATGTCTAATTTTATCTAGTTAAAGTTGTATTGTTTATGTGTTATTTAAGGCTTTTGTTTCTAATTTCTGCATCCCCCGCGAAACGTCCTCAGCGGCAAAGAGCAAGGAGAAACGGTTGCTGCATCATGGGCTATTTTCTTGGTTTTCTTCCTTGGTTTTCTTTTTCTTTTCTGACCAAACTTCTCAACATACCTATCATTTGATGCGTGCAACTAACAGGCTTATAGCACTTCTAATCCGGGCGGGGAGTAGGAGGGCTCAAAGATAATTTTGGGAAGAGGTATGCTTTAGTGCAAAAATCGTTCAGTTTTATGACCCTGATTCGCTTCACTTTGCACACTTTTTCAAGCTAACATCATAACTAACTAATTGATGGTACCACACATCATTGCCAGCCCACGCACTCTTTTTAAGGATTCCGTTGCAAAAAGTCACCCTGTTCAAATATGCTAAATAGTTATAAATTTAATTTCACAATGGGAGCCGCCCCACTCCCAAACATCCCAGGCTAAGATAAGTTATGGGAAGAGGCAAACCTGAAGGCGGAATAGGAGAGGGAGCCAATTGGTGCAAAAGTGAGCTATCACTGTAGGGAGGGAGTGCGAGGTGACAACCTGGTCTCTGCTGTCCTTTTAACAAAGAAAGGAATAAAGAAAGCACAGGAATTTTGCAGAATGCCGAATGACCGTTATATGCACACCGAATGAATTCTACGCTTGTAATTTGGTAATTGTCCACATCACACCACAGAGAATACTGAAAGAATCACAACAAGATGAAAATGAGTATTGTGGAACCCTAGTTAGCTTGCAAAGACTGCTCTAAGT